CAGCAGCTCCTCTAGGCTTTCACAATAAAAACACACAGATGCAGCCCCAGAGTTCCATGATTAATGTTGTGAACAAACTAGTCACCTGGAAAATCAGGGTGAGGCAGCTTCTGAGGGATGATGGGTAGATTCTGGGTGGGGAACACCGTAAATCTCCACTCGTCCTTTTCTAAAGGTCAGGGCAAAGAGTGCTGCTGGGATGACTCAAAACAGATTTTTTTTTTTTTTTTTTTTTAACAAGGCCTTTTCTCAAAAGGATATTCAGAATCACTACATGGTAAAGGCGCAGAGCTCAGAATTCAGCTACAGGCTGGTGTCATGCATATTTTGCCACGAACCTTTTTCTTGCCGTTAGTCACTGAACAAACATTTGCTGGACTCCCTTCCATGAGCCATCATGAGTAAGAGACCTGGATCCTGCTCTGAGGGCGCTGCAGAGCTATCGAGGAAAACAAGAGCTCACACCCCAGTGCCACGGGCGCTCCCTCGGGGAAGCACAGGGCCCGCTGGGCAGGGGTGCCATCAGCACAGCTAACACTCACTGAGCTCACATCCGGTGCTCGGCACCGTCCCGGGTGCTTGGCGAGAACTAATACCCTCGACGCTCACAAGAACTCTGTGGGGTAGGGACTGCTGCATGTGAAGAAACCGAGGTGCAGAGAAGGTAAGCGACTCCCCTGAGCTTTCACACTGGGCTCTGAGACACGCTTTACATGCTGTACCCAGTTACTCCTCAGTATGAGATGGGTACTGTTATTATGCCCGCTTTAGAGACCAGAACCTAGGTAGAGAGAAGTTAATTAACTTGAGAAGACTACAGACATGACAGGAAGAGCCCTGAACGCAGACTTGGGATACCAGAAAGGTTTTCTGAAACGGAGAATGGCTCCTGAGACCCAATGGATAAGCTGGAACCTCAGTGCTGGACACTGTACAAGAACACACTAGGCTGAGCCGGCGCCGTGGCTCAATAGGCTAATCCTCCACCTTGCGGCGCCGGCACACCGGGTTCTAGTCCCGGTTGGGGCGCCGGATTCTGTCCCGGTTGCCCCTCTTCCAGGCCAGCTCTCTGCTATGGCCCGGGAGTGCAGTGGAGGATGGCCCAGGTGCTTGGGCCCTGCACCCCATGGGAGACCAGGAAAAGCACCTGGCTCCTGGCTCCTGCCATCGGATCAGCGCGGTGCGCCGGCTGCAGCGGCGGCCATTGGAGGGTGAACCAACGGCAAAAGGAAGACCTTTCTCTCTGTCTCTCTCTCTCACTGTCCACTCTGCCTGTCAAAAATTAAAAAAAAAAAAAAGAACACACTAGGCCGTGGCGAAGAGAGCTAAGAGGCAGCCTGTGACACAAGGCAGAGAAACCACCCCTAAGCCAAGGTGCAAGGGGCCTGCCGAAGTCGGCAAGCAGAACAGGAAAACTGAGAGGAAACTCCTGCACCTTGGGCCTCATGGGCAGTAGAAGGCAGCTGAAACCTATGACTGGGGCCGGGCAGAGGGGCTGAGAAGCATCCCTGCCAGTGAGGATGCAGGGCCTCATGGAGCGCAATGAGGAAAACTGAGAGACCCTGGGGGATATGGAGCATTAGAATGACTGTCGGGCACTAGCCCTCTACTGACAGAAGGGCAAGACGGCGAAGAAAATCCCTCTCAGTGCAGGCACATCGGCCTAGGAAGCTTGAAGAGAAGGCAGAACTGAGATAAAAAAGATCTGCCAAGGGGGAAAGGTTGATCCCACCCATTGGCACACTGAGTGTATCAAGAGTAAGGACAGGCCGGCGCCACGGCTCAATAGGCTAATCCTCCACCTAGCGGCACTGGCACACCGGGTTCTAGTCCCGGTCGGGGCGCCAGATTCTGTCCCAGTTGCCCCTCTTCCAGGCCAGCTCTCTGCTATGGCCCGGGAGTGCAGTGGAGGATGGCCCAGGTGCCTGGGCCCTGCACCCCATGGGAGACCAGGAGAAGCACCTGGCTCCTGCCTTCGATCAGCGCGGTGCGCCGGCCACAGCGCACCAGCCATGGCAGCCATTGGAGGGTGAACCAACAGCAAAAGGAAGACCTTTCTGTCTCTCTCTCTCACTATCCACTCTGCCTGTCAAAAAAAAAAAAAAAAAAAGAGTAAGGACATAAGGACAAAGCCTAGACTCATGCAACTACAGATTAGACTGACAGCAGTCCTGACACCAACAGCCTGGGAGAAGAGGGGTCATGCCACCCTGACGTTCTACACACACCTGCTACTCAATCAAAAATGTGTTGGGGGCGGGGGTGTGGGTCAGAAAAAAATGACTCCTCTTCAAGACATACTACAATCAGTACAACTAGACCCAGAGAGAGACAAGATAATGGGATTACGAGAATAATTATGATAAATATTTTAAAGGAGCTGGCAGAAAAAGCAATCAAAATGCATGAACAGATGAGGTATTTCAGCAGAGGTTTGGAATTATCCCGACTAAGACCCTAGAATGGTAGAAAAATTGGAACCGAGTATCTAAGATTCATAGGCAAATCTCAAACAGTCTATCATGTATGTAATTAGCCTCAGAGGAGAAAGTGAGAGAACATAGGATAGAAGAAATATTTGAAGAAACAACAGAGAAAATTTTTGAAAATTAATGAAAGCTTAACCCATAGATCCAAGAAACTCAGAAAACCCCAAGCAGGATATGCACATGCAAAGAAAAACACAACTGGAAATATCAAGGTCATACTGCTGAAAACCAGAGTAAAGGTGGGAGGGTGGGAGGAATGCATTACACAGGAGAGCAGTGATAAGAGTGACAGCTGACCAAACACTGAGACGGAACGCCAATGGAATGACATCTTTCAAGTGTTAGAAAAATTATCAACCAACAATCCTACATCAAACAAAAATACCCTTTAAACACAAACGCTAAATAAAGACACTCTTAGACAAAGGGTGAAAAAGAATTCATCTCTATGTGACCTCGCTGTAATATCACAGTGGGGAGGGAAAAGGGAGATGGAAGAACTTAGGCAGTTCCTGCTGAAGCAGTTTTGAGTTGGTGCAGCTTCTGAAGGGACGATGGCAAACACCTTTAATACGTCCCATGCCAGCCCTGATTAGTCACAGCCCACTACAGTCCTGGTCAAAGAAGAGCCACACGGCTGGTGTGGTACAGCAGGTAAAGCTGTAGCCTGCAACGTCAGCAACCCATGGAGCATGGGGTTCACGTCCCAGCTGCTCCACTCCCAGTCACGTTCCCTGCTAACGTGCTGGGAAAGCACCAGAAGATGGCCCAAGTATGTGGACCACTGCAACCCACGCAGGAGACCTGGATGAAGCTCCTGGCTTCGGCCTGGCCCAGCTGGCTATTGTGGCCTTCCCTCTCTCTCTGTAACTCTGCCTTTCAAAATAAACAAATAAGGGGCCAGCGCTGTGGCATAGCAGGTAAAGCTGCCACCTGCAGTGCCAGCATCCCATATGGGCGCTGGTTCGAGTCCAGCTGTTCCACTTCTGATCCAGCTCCCTGCTATGGCCTGGGAAAGCAGTGGTGGATGGCCCAAGTCCTTGAGCCCCTGTGCCCACGTGGGAGACCCGGAAGAAGCTCCTGGCTCCTGGCTTTGGATCAGCGAAGCTCCGGCCATTTCCTTCCTTTGAGGGCTAACCTTGGTGTTACAGAGTGTTTAACAGGATCCCTGGCTTTCACCCTCAAGTGACAACACGTTCTTTTCTCCCCTTCCTCAACAGTGGTGACAACCAAAACTGTCTGGGGATATTGCCAGATGCCCTCAGGGAAAAGAAAAACTGCCCCAAGTTGAGAACTTTTTGGTTAACAGGAAGAACCTTAGGGCTGCCAGAAAGTAAAGGCCTCTTGATAGCAGGAGGCAAAAAGGTGGCAGCCTCTGCGTGTGGCAGGGCAGCACCACCCAGCCAGGCTCCTGGAATGTGAGGTTGGGGGAAGACAAACTGGGTCCTTCCGACTTGTAATGACCTGCAACTAAATGCTCTTTATCAGTGGCATTTCTGATTATGCAAATTTAGGGCACCCCTAAATCCTGGAAAATGAACACAGAAATTTGCTTTTAATCCACTTCCGAGACTGTTTCTTCTTTAGTTCCCCTGAGACTTTTCCTGAATAGGTGTATCTGTCGGCTTCTCAGAATACCTAAGACAAGCTACTTAGGAAGGGAGGAGGTGTATTTCGGCTCACAGTCCGACACTGGGCAGCCCCTTTAGTTCAGCACCTGGGGATGGCGTGCTTGCTGTCAGTCTCAAGGCAGCAGGAGCGCCACATGGCAAGAGAGAGGACAGCGTTCATCTCTGTCCTGATGAAGCCACCACAATCAGATATCACCCCAACAACCCAATCTGATCTAATCTCTTCCCAAGGCCCCACCCCTAAATATTACAATGGGACTAAGTTTCTACCTTTACAACCACTAATATAAGGCTCTGGGGACCAAGCCTTTAACAGATGGGCTCTAGGGGGACAGCCTTACCAATATCCAAATCATACCCATGGGTTATCGTACTATTTTTTTTAAAGATTTATTTATTTATTTGATATCAGAGTTTCACAGAAAGAGGAGAGGCAGAGAGAGAGAGGGAGAGAGAAGTCTTCCATCTGCTGGTTCACTCCCCAATTGGCTGCAACAGCCACAGCTGTGCCGATCCAAAGTCAGGAGCCAGGAGTGTCCTCCAGCTCTTCCCACATGGGTGCAGGGGCCCAAGGATTTGGGCCATCCACCACTGCTTTCACAGGCCACAGCAGAGAGCTGGAACAGAAGTGGAGCAGCCGGGACTCAAACTGGCACTCATATGGGATGCCAGTACTACACGCGGCGGCTTTACTTGCTACACCAGAGCGCCGGCCCCATGGTACTATATTCTTTAATTTCTAAGAACTCCGTATCTTTGTCTTAGTAGCCTGCTTTTTCCCCCTTAATGGATATAACAGACTTTCTAAAGAGTTTTCTTATATACGGTTTTTCTTATATACCATTGTCCTGCCTCAGATAATGAATGAACAAATACAATTCCACTTGTGCCAGTTATCTAGAGACCTATTTTTAGTGGTAAGTACACCTTGGACTTTTTCTGAAATGGCTTTCAATTTCTAAGACCTAAATGTTACTCCTGTAACATCTCGGTGGACTTCAAGGGGAGAGAAGAAACAAACATGTGTTCAGTCTGTCTTCAACTGTCTCCCATTGACAGTGTCCCTGGGGATCTTCCTGCCATCAACGATTTCAAGAACCCATCCATGGAGACAGCCATTCAATCTGTCATGCTATGTCAAATAATTATGATAGCTGTATTCCTAAGAATCTGTCAACAAGTTATAAAATAAATTGACACAATGGCAGGAGGGGCAGTAGCAAAAGGAGGGAGCATTTTAAACCGCCTAGTAATTTCTCCAGCATTACTGGACAAATCTAGCCTCTCATCAGATATGGACACTGTTCAAACAGGATATCAGTCTTATTATCACAAGCACTCTAACTAATGAGAACACCGTATACACACACATCTCCTTTGCCACCCACAGCTCTGAAAGCACAACAGAAAAATGCCCAACAATGTGTGTTCTGAAGGCACCCACCTCCCACCTCCACCTCCATCAAGGTGCTAGTTCCCTGCAGGTGGGTAAAAGGGCTAAGACCGAAAGCCTGGTGCAAGTGTGCGGAGTCAACCCCAGCCCAGCACCTAGGAGCCATGGAGCAATGAAGCAGAAGATGTATCTCTGTGTCTCCATTTCCTTTGGAAATGCAGGTATCGGGGCTGGCGCTGTGGCACAGTGAGCTAAGCCTCCACCTGCAGCACCGGCATCCCATATGGGTGCCAGTTTGTGTCCTGGCTGCTCCTCTTCTGATCCAGCTCTCTGCTGTGGCCTGGGAAAGCACTGGAGGACCACCCAAGTGCTTGGGCCCTGCAACCACAAAGGAGACCCAGAGGCTTCAGATCAGCTCAGCTCTGAACGTCGTGGCCATTTGGGGAGTGAACCAGCAGATGGAAGACCTTTCTGTCTGTCCCTCTCTCTATAACTCTGCTTCTAAAATAATAATAATAATATGCATTAAGCACTAATCCCTAAAAAGGTCTGGGGACCGGTGTGATGCTACAGGGGCTGCCACTTGTGATGCTGGCATCCCTCACTGGAGTGCCAAAATCTGAGTTCTGGCTGCTCTGCTTCCTATCCAGCTTCCTGCTAATCCACCAGGGAAAGCAATGGATGACGTTCCAAACACATGGGTCTCTGTCGCCCACACGGGACACCAGCCTTCAGCCCAGTCCAAGCCTTGCTGTTGCAGCCATTTTGTTGTTGTTATTTTAAAGATTTATTTAAAAGGCAGAGTTACATGGTAGGGGTTTGGCAAAAGACAGACAGACAGGAAGAGAGAGATACTTCATCCACTGGCACACTCCCCAAATGGATGCAATGGGGGGAGAGGGGGCCAAGCTGAAGCCAGGAGCCAGGAGGCCTCTCAGGATCTCCCATGATGGTGGCAGGAGCCCAAACACCTGGGCCGTCTTCCATTGCCTTCCCAAGCACACTAACAAGGAGCTAGATCAGACGTGGAACAGCCAGGTCGCAGAACTGGCACCCACACAGGATGGCCTAACCTACTGCATCACAACACTAGCCCTGGCTGCAGCTATCCGGCGAGTGAACCAGCAGATGGAAGATCTCTGTCTCTCACTGTATTTCATTCTGTCTTTCAAATAAATAAACAATCTTTAAAAGGCATTTTTTCAACTGTTACACAAGGAAGAGTCTTGTCTCTGTGACCTCAGACAAGTTACTGAATCTTCCTGGGCCTGTTTCTTCATCTGCAAAGACGAACGTGAGGTCCAACTGAGAAGGGAACCAGGAACCACGGTATGTGGAGGTGGGCACAGAGAGCTACTGCAGGGGAAGATGTGACCTGGGTGTGGATGGGAAAAGAGGGGAGAGCCTAGGACACCCCACGTTTCAATGCCAAGTGCCCCTTCGTGCAGAGAGACATCTGGGAGGATCTGCAGGTGCGGTGAGTGAGGTCAGCTCTGGAAATGCTGTTTCAGGGATCTGTTGAACTTCTGATGGGGACGTCCAGTGTGGCTGTGGCTGCATGGCCCTGAAGCATGGAAGAGGCACCTGGACCAGAAACCCAGGGCATGCTCTACCTATCAGCGGCAAACGGATCTAGGGCAGCTCACTCAGGAGGCAGATCCTGCAGAGAAGATGGGGTGAAGGACGGATGAGTCAGGAATATACCGGAAGAGGAGCCAACACAGGAAACAGAAAAAGAGTCCCTAGAGAGGGCACGCAAGAGAGCGGGACTGGGTGTGAGCAGAGCAACTCTGCAAACTGCAGCAGAGAGGAAAGGAAAGGAGAACGGGTCAGGGAGACCAAGATGCAGGGCACTGATGAAAGAGCCCCAGGAAGGGAGGGGAAGGCTGAGAATGTCCCGACACGACTGCAGCAGCCACAAGAGGGAGGCTGAGAATGCACAGCAGCGAGGGGAAAACCCTGGTGGAACGCTCGGGGCACGTGGCACGGGTAGGAGAGGCTGGCCCCAGACAGGTGGCAGGACCCGAGACCCTGATGGAATGCTCGGGGCACGTGGCACAGGTAGGAGAGGCTGGCCCCAGACAGGTGGCAGGACCCGAGACCCTGATGGAATGCTCGGGGCACGTGGCACAGGTAGGAGAGGCTGGCCCCAGACAGGTGGCAGGACCCGAGACCCTGATGGAATGCTCGGGGCACATGGCACGGGTAGGAGAGGCTGGCCCCAGACAGGTGTCAGGACCCGAGACCCTGATGGAATGCTCGGGGCACGTGGCACAGGTAGGAGAGGCTGGCCCCAGACAGGTGGCAGGACCCGAGACCCTTGTAGAATGCTCGGGGCACGTGGCACAGGTAGGAGAGGCTGGCCCCAGACAGGTGGCAGGACCCGAGACCCTGATGGAATGCTCGGGGCACGTGGCACAGGTAGGAGAGGCTGGCCCCAGACAGGTGGCAAGACCCGAGACCCTGATGGAATGCTCGGGGCACGTGGCACAGGTAGGATCCGACTGCCCCCAGACAGGTGGCAGGACCCGAGACCCTTACAGAA